ATTTAGCAGATCTGTGAAAAAATTTCGAGTACATATCAAGTAAGTTCAATAAGAAGTTCGTGGATTCATGATTTTGGAAACGAGAATTCTCGATGTTAATCAGTACCGCTGGCAGTTCTCTTCATAAGACAGTTCAAAAATTTTGATGGAAAAGATCTTGTCTACCTTCCTTTCTGTTTTAGTGCTACTTAACTATAAAATTGGACATTGCGTGTCAATTGGCATTCTGGTTTTATAGTACAGTGAGATTGTTTTAGAACGAAACGATATTTTGTGCGTTTTTGCGAAGACATACATTTTCCGGACGTACTTTATGAGAAGAACTAGTGAACTAAACGCTTGCTACACTCGGTAATGAGCATACATCACAGAATTTATATAACGAGAGATCAGTTCAGCAAGATCAAGAGTAATGTACGCGCTGCAAAATGGGGGTTTATGCGTTTTACAATGCAAAATGATGTAAAGACGTACAGAGGAATAACAGGTTAACAGTATTGCCGGCAGAGATGAGAGAGCGTGGAATGGCCACTTCTAGCTTATTAAGCATCGTTAGCCAGTCCTACTCAGACCCAAGTGGTGCACCACCCGAGCTTCGAATTCGTGATCTTTTGATCAGAGTCTAACGCCCTAACCATTGAGCCACGAGCCCGTTGTCTTGCCGGCTTAGGTCGATGAAATTTCACCGACAGCTAGCGGAATTTACATTTACCACTTTGCCCTGCCTGAGTCTTCATTTCTCGGGCCCTCACAGCAGTCATAGCAGCTAGTGGTATAGGCAGATATTATTGCGAGACAAGTGCGTGCCGTTAGCGGTTGGTGAACGTTCACCAACGATTGTCAATATTTCCCGACTTAAACCGGCAAGAGAAGGAGCTCGTGGCTCAATAGTTAGCGAGTTCGATTCTTATCGAATTGGTCCAGAGTTCGTGCTTCGGGCCGTGCACCAATTCGGGCTGGGTATGGCTGGCTGCCGACGCCTTATAAGCCAGAAATGGCTATTCCAGTCTCCCTTGTCTTTGCCGGCAATACTCTCTGCGTATACTACTAGCTGCTTCAGCTGCTATCAGGGCCCGAGAAATGAGGCCCAAGGCAAAGGAAAAGCGGGACAAGTAAGTTACATTAGCGGTATTTTAATGTTCATCGACAAGTCAATAGAATGTTGCCAAACATGGGTGAATACTAGCTCAGAGAAGTAAAGTGAAGGCTGAACAAACAATTGGTGCATTAAAAGTCTTTACCAAAAAACAGTATTATGAGTAATCGTCAAACTTTTCATTACAGTGGAACGACCGAAAGCGACTGCAGGGTCTACTCAACGGTTACGGCTCCTCAAAGTCCTCCTCTTTAGGTGAAAGAAACTCTTTCACTAGATCATATGTGGGTGAGGGCTAGTGGAAGGGATTTTATGTCCCCCCGAGAAAGAAGGTTATTTTTCTCTTCGATGCAGCATTTTTATAATGGTATAGAAGATTTTGTATGTCCTCATGACTGGATCTAAGCCATTTTTGTTTTCAGAGCACTTCAAAATATGGATCCCCTCAGCTATGTTTGATCACAGTTGCTGTTGAATCCTTATGAATATTGCAATAGGTTCACTTTTAAAACTCTTTCTTCTCTCTTACCCCTGCTGACTCCTCTACCCCTTCACGTGCTGACTTCGGTGGACCCAAATATTTATAATCGATGAGTATTCTTACTGCCTCTTCCGTCCAGTCGCCAAATCCTGCCTCCCCAATCAATTTTACCAATATCACAGCCTTTTTGACAGCCTCATTGTGAATCTGTTCTGGTGGGAAGCCCTCGTATTTATGGGCTGTCTGTAGTCACATCTTATTCTACCAAACGCTGACAGTCTCATTTTTCCTTTTTTGAAGGCAGACTGAATTTTTTCAAAGGCATGATGCTATGGTGAATTTCTTCAAATATTTTTTAATGTTAATCCTCTATTTTATCCACTGCAGTAGTGCAGAATTGCGCGTGCACGGATCACGCTGTTTGAATAAAGAGGAGTGATTTTGGAAGGGTGAAGTTCATTCTACACACCACCATACGGCCCATCTAAGAGGTTTTCTCGGACATTCAAGGCTTAGAATGGGAAGGTGTTCCTCCATTTCAGGGATGAAATGCCTCTGAAACAAGCTGGCCCTTGGATTTATGCATTCAGTAGGCAGACAGACTATTCGCATTCTTGTTCTTGAAGATCCTGGAGTTTGCAGACTTAGAAGTCAGACCTGGTTTGGTCAAGTCGCAACTGGCATTCCTACACATAATGAGCGTGTTTATGTTCTTTTGCGTCTTAAATTCGGGCGCTTTGATCTCTTCCTTCACCATGAGTGTTCTCGATGAGATTTTCTCTCAGAACAATCCAGCTTCATCCATATTGAAGTTCTGTTAAGGCCTATCTCCCTTCTCCTGGCCAATATGCTGTAAGGTCTACAAAGATCCCTCTATAGCTTCGAGGTCAGTAGATGGAGCTTGTCCCTGCAATCGCACACCTGAAAAGTGTTTAAATCACACCTTGTTGACCTGATTACTTGCAAGATATGGAGGTACTTGGTTGCGGGTGTTGTAAACCGTATTCAGCAAGTTCCTTTTCCCTATTCCCATTGGCCTCCAAGGGACGTCTTTTAACAACAATCTTCAATACATAATCAAAGCACAGATTCCATTTTAAGTGGTCTCTTCTGGTCGAGACATGTTTTCCTTCACGCAAGCTCTTAGGAACCAATTTTTTTTTAATTTCTACCTATTTAATTTTTATTGGGCATGTTTTCATTCAGAACACATTGCCGTCTTATGTTTGTTGCAGTCTGACCAGATTTCAACAAATATGAGACTCTAACTTTTACCTTTTAGTGTCATCATCTTTTTCGGACGCTCGCAAACGCCGCTAGATGACTAAGAATGCGCAGAATTTTATTCATCTTGGCTATTTTTAGAAGTGAGTACAAGCAAAGGAAAAAAGCAGTGAAAACCCTGAACACACCCGTACAGGAATCGTGCATATTCAACTGAGATGCGGGAAGATAAACCGCGGCTTCATTCAACTACTAGTGACAACACATGCACAAATTATCCTAGCTACAAGTTACGCAATAACAAACGAGGCCGGTACGCCGCTGTGTGATTAGATACTTTAAACTCTTCCACCTAGTTGCGTGTTGTCAGGTTGCCTACCTCATCGTTCATACTCGATACAGTATGCAGTTACTATGGACACAAATGGATATTTTATAATCCTCGTGCTTAATTGAAGTTAATGTTTATTTACTACACCCAGAGTAGAAGATAAACTGAAATTTATACTTATAACAATGTAACTATTAGCGTTCCAACGGAGATAAATTATGCTAATGGATATCGCATTCTGTAGAGATATCATGCAAAACTTTGCATAAAAAGAAAAATTTCCATTGGAAACCAAGGTTTTCCGGAAGAATGCCTTGAATTATTTCTTACGTGTTTCCAATTTCCCCAAAATAGTGGTATTTTCAGTAAAGTAATGTACGACACCGATTTTATATATGTAGCAGCATTAACACTTATAACTTACTTAAAATTTAAAAATAAGCAAGTTTTTGGGGTTCTTCGAGAAGATCACAGAATTCGTAGGTATGTAAAAAAATCCCGAATACAAATTAATCAGGTTTCAATCTGGTAAGTTGCGAATCCCGAAACCTGAATTCACAAAGTATGAGTGCATGAATCTACTAATAGACGAAAACCAACTTCTCTGACTCCATATCACTAGCTGGTTCGGATTCGTGGCGTATGCTTTTTGAACAGTTGGCTGCCCACTAGATGCCAAAGTTAAAAAAAAAAGTAACGCTGCCGGCTAGCCGACGTGGACACGTGCACACAAAAATGGCCGCGGTTTCTAGAACCCAAATACAGTCAGTGAAATTCGCGACCGACACTTTTGCCTGCACATGCTGTGCAGATGGTGCACGAAGGGTGTTCGCTCAATGGGCTAAGGACATTATCAAACCGGAGTTTATCGGCGTGCCAACGCCTATCAGCCTTTATCGTTGAAGCCCGGATATTTGTTCACCTATAAATAGGCACGGACCGATATGCCTTACGTGGCAGGGCAAAACAAGCCCGAATAGGGCTGGGCACTGACCTGATTAATATTCAAGTCCAACAGTTGGCAACCTTATTTATTTCAATTTCACTTATTTCGGTCAAAACGCTTAAATGTACTACAGTGTTAAATAAATCGAAGAAGGATCTTCCTTAGACTAGATCTCAATTCCTAAATGTTTTCTAGGTAGCTTCGGATACTGCTACCAATAACTGGTTGTTGCTGCGTTTTTACTGAGCTACTTGACTTATTTTGAGTTGACGCAATTGTAAAAAAAACTCGATGTGTTCGGCGGGATATGAACCCGCATAGAAGAGAAGGCCTTTATTGGAAGCCAATGCTCTAACCACTTGAACTACAAACGCCCCACCTCGCGCCAAGAATTTAATCACACTTGGGTCGATTTTACCCACCCAACTGTATCACTCGTATGGAATCCACCAATACGGAACAGCAAGCTGACTGCATAAGCAGGATTTCCTAACCAATCATCTGGAATCCACCAGAATGATAATTAGGCAGGTTTGGCAGATTTGCCGAACGCCTCGAGTTTTTTCACAATTGGATCAACTCAAATTAAGCAGATTTGCCAAACTACCTAATACTTGACTTATAGCAATTAGGGCACTGCTCTTTATTTGGCACTGGTAAATACTGCGGAAAATAACTGCTTAAACTTTAAATCTAGCAAGTAGCTGTATGAACTTCTTTATGAGGATGCTGTCGAAGCGAGCATCTGGGGTATTGCTTCCTTCCTAGAATCTTTAGCTGGATTAAGCATACCTACCCTCGCGACATCAGGGGATTAAACATTTAAATATCGAACAGTCCGGTCGTTTGTGTGGATTTCCAAGCAAATGAAAACGTTTAAGCAATTTCCAAATTCGACCTAATGGAGGGCAATTAAACGTACGATTTTTGTTTCCCAAACACATAACCTTTTCCATTTCATTTGGGGAATGCACCATTACTGTTGACAGGTCCTTCACGTAAACACCGCAGTCGGGTCTTTCTTTCACGTCCAGCTTCGTTTGCTGGTTCTTCCCAAGCAAGTCACGAACCTGATCAGGAAAAGGGGATTGCTGTCAGGCAAGACTTTTCCTCACCTCTTCATTATAAATCTCCAGGTAGGAAACGTGAACAAGAAATCGGGTCTTCGAGTCGGCCTTTGCGATCCGACCGAAAATATGCGCAAAGGAATTCGGTATGATGCCTCTAAGAGCCGGTACGGACCTGACTCCTTCCATGGTGAATGTTTTGCCCGTTCCGGTTTGTCCATAAGCAAAAATGGTGCCTAAATAACTTTTTGCTATACCAAGGAAGAATAGTTTTACCATTATAGCCCTCAAACACTTTTTCGATTATTGGTCTGGCGATCTTGTTGAAGATATCCAGCTGTTTGCTGCCCATTCCAAATGCGTAGTCAAAAGTGAACATTTTTGTTGGACCGTCCTCTGATTCATCTGGCGACCGCAAATGTACCGCACCTGCCTCTTCGTCGACCTTTACGCATAAGAAATGAGCGTTCTGCTAGAAGGCTCTCACCTTGACAACGGTGAAAAAATTCTGTTGTTCCTCTTTCTCATTCATCGGCCTGCAGCGAACACAGACCTTTACATTTTCAGAGTCGGATGACATCTAAAAATCGGAATAAGTACAATTCAGATTAAAACAAAATTTAACAGGTCAAACGGCATAAGCAGCACTGAGTCTTACCGTACAGAGCTCAGCAGTTTAACCGGCGACTTCAGCTTATATAAAGTTATAAACGAAATAATAAGCTTCATGGAAATTCAGTTTTGCGCACGGCCTTTCCTGATATCATGCTTAATCCGTTGTTAGGGTAGATTACTGAGAAAATTCAAGTACAGGAAATGGGACAAGGGTGAGAAAAGTGGGCAAATAGGTCTATGCGGGGGATGCAAAGGACAGGTGGAGGGAATTAAGACCGATGAAGAGTAGGAGGGTAAAACTTCGTATTTCTGTCAGGGGAGAGGAGCAGACTGAGTAGATGGAAAGATGCGGATATCAAGAATGCTACTTGGTGACATTACGGAGGATATTTAATGCGTGGAAAAAAGTAGTTCACTGTTCTGGGCTTTTATAAATGTCCTATTGTCAATCCTGAGGGACAGAAAAAAATCACAAAACAACAGACAGCTAAATTTGTAGATGGTCCAATCTAGTCTGTCCAAAGATTGATGGCAGCCGTCAATCTTGAGGCCCGTCTGCTTTTCCCAGTGTGCGACACTGTAAGCGGCTAGGGCGGGCGGAGGGTCGACGAGGAAGCCTACGGACGAATTCCTATGAAAGTATAAGCTTCTGCATTGTTTTTTTTTTCTTTCCTATATTTTAAACACGCTTCCCTGGCAGTAAATTCCATGGGTGCTTTTAGTGTAAGCTAAGCAGCCATGAGATATATAAAAGAGCTCAGTAAAACATCTGCATTTTGGTCGCGCAACCCCTATTCTAGCCTTCGCGCCGTTTCACTTTTATGCTTGCCTAGGCAGTCAGTGTACAGGACGCGCAAGATAACACTGGCCTTCGGGGTAGGAGTCTTTGGCGGTGTAAAATCCAGGCCTTTAAGTAGCAAACGGCCGTGACTATGACCGAGGAGACTCCGGCAGTGCAAAACAAAGCACGAAGGAACCAGAATTTCGTGCCCTTGTTAGATTCGGTTACTTACTTCCAAAAACTCTATAAGTATCTAGCGCTCAGCGTCATTGATCATGCCGATGGCAAAAACTCTTGCAGTATTTCCTCTCGGGTGCAGAAATTCAGGCCGCTTTATTGGTGTTCCACTGGTAATTTACTACAAAAACGGAGCGTATTGGCAGGACAAATATTGGAAAACTCTCGCAACAGCGTGGTGAACACCGTACTGATGGCTTCTAACTTTTCATTGAATCTTTCTTTTTTGGCAGTTTTATTTCGACAACCCTTAGTGAGAAATATAGTATTTATGTTATTTCCAGAGGATAATAATGTGTCTATCGCTAGATTTCCGAGGCATTTTTTTATTAAAATATCCTTAAAATCGTTCCAAAAATCACAAAACCATGTGCCTTCTGAGATCGAAATATGCCTGAAGAATGCACTGTTGAAACTCTTGTTTATAATGATTTTATTCGGCTTGCAAATTATACCGATTGCACAGGTTGCCGATTTATCTTCTCAATGCAATACAATGACGGACAGCATAGATTGCTACATTCAGTATTTGTCCTCGGTCTGCCTGACAGGATCCACACATCTTTCTACCTTTGACCAGAACTGATTAGATTTTAGAAGGTTTGACAACAGATGATTAGAATTCCGACTACTTGGTAACTCTAGGCTACTCTTAAAAATCTGAGATCAATAAATACCTACATACATAGGGTGTCCCAAAAATGCATACAAATTTTGGATAATTGTAAACTTGCTGTTTATCATAATTTTATTATTTCAAAAATGTACAAATATTTACAAGTATCATTTGATTGTTTTTCACTGCATGTTCCCAAACTGACGTCAATTTTGATCTAGGCACTGCTGACAACGTAAAGCAATGAAATCACACACACCATGAAACAATTCCCTTGGTATTTGGGCGCATTCATGTTCAATGGCTTTCTCTTTCTCAATTATTTAAAATATAGTCAAAATGCAGTGAAAAAACAATAAAATGATACTTGTAAATACTTTTACATTTTTGAAATAATAAAATTATAGTAAACACGAAGTTTAAAATTACTTGCAATATGTATACGTTTTTGGGACACCCTGTACATAAGGAAAAACTAACGATATACACAGCTTAACTCTAATTTTAGAGATCCCCAAAAATGTAGCACACAGATGCGATACAAATTCGGGAAACGAAAAAAATTTACGTAACTTTTCACTTTACTGCTGGCACCTTGCACGCTACCCTCAGAACTCTTCTTACGTCAATTCGCTTGTCGATTTCCATGGTGTGGGCAATCATGACATCCACGGTAGTCTGACTTAACATCGTTTGTTCGTGTCCCAGTTTAGTTTCTCTAAAAAGCTTACTTTAATTGTAAAAGTAGTGACTTAAATAATTACACATTTCAATTACCTTTACCCATGTATCTACGGCACATTTGATATTAAAACCGAGCACTGAAATACGGATAGTTCGATCAGTAGACAAAAACGGTTAATTGTCGATATGATAGAGAAACAGTAAACACCTCTTTGCGGAATATTCCACGACGGGCAAAAATTATCGAGTCCTAACTATGACACCATCAAAACTTGAACTTTCACTCTAAACTTAACTCAAATACAATTTTCTCCTAACCTCAAACTTAGTTTCAGCCCTACATCTAACAGTTACCCTAATCGCCTTGCAAATTAGTGCAAGATTCTCAGAAAAGGCGACGCTCCTATTTCCATGTTTTGCCTATCAGATAAATGATTCATGCACCGGCCAAAACTTTATGTGAACTATCTTATATCTTTAAGCGTATTTAGAATGCACAGTTAGAGAAAAGTCGAGTCACTTTACTTGTGAATAAAAATCGGCATTTTTGTCAGGAGGACCCCGTGCAAGCCACTTAATCCCGGGCCACAGTGCAATCAAGCAACACAGACAGAAGTGGGGTTCAGGTTAAAGAAAATTTGTTTTGGCCTTGGCAAGCTTGCTCTATCCAGCATTGTTTACCATGCCACCACATGTTTATGTATATAAATGGATTACAGTGGCCATCTGCACCCACTATAAAGTTAATTTAAACCACTAAATGGGCTTCCAAACAGAAAATAATAATCAATAGAATTTATGATACGTATATATGGAGTGGATACGACAAAGCAAACGGAGACCGGAATGGCCATTTCTGGCTCGTCAGCCGCCATCGGCCAGCCGCACCCAACTGCAAGTGTTTGAACACCCGAGATTCGAACCCGGGACCTTTGGTCATTGAGTTTACCACTCTACCACTCTACTGTTAGGCCCTAATAGGATAGATCGGATGAACACCCCAGCTTTATAATATTCACGATCATAACCGATAAAGCAACGAGCCCGTGGTTCAATGGCAATTAGAATTCAGCAGACCAAAACAGGATTCAATGTTGACGCTCTTGTTCCCAAACCAATATAAACTAAGTGGATACTATTTGTCCGGTTGGATGAACGCCACTTAGATCGACCAATCTCCTGCCATCAAAAATAAAGAGAAAAATTTATTGAAGCGCACTTACGAGGGCCAAAGCACCACACGTATTTATGATCCTACAAGTAGGGGTGTTTAATAATTCGGAAAACCATCAACAGTGTATGTAAACGCAATGACCGAATTCAGATGGAACTGACTAACATATTAAAAACAGAAACACTGTTGCTGATCTCAAATTTATCTCCAGTTAGGGTCAGTTTGCACAAACGAAATTCAAGGCAAAAGTCGGTTTTGTGATGTGTGCAGTTTATGGCATGGTCAACATGATAGGGTTGGATAATTAAGACGAATGCTCTCAATTAGCCATGAAACTGAAGACTCAAGGGGTATATGGCGGTTACATAATAATGACCAATAATTCATAAATGGTTTTAATCTCGATTACAGAGTCCGAGGCTGGCGTATCGCTGGTTGCTTATGTACAATAAGCCAAAAATTAACATTCCCATTTACTTGTATTTGGATATCATTTCTCGAGAAAAAATAATATCTGTGACCCAGATGCTCGCTTGGGCCTATTAAAGAATGCGCAGCTTTGCATTTCTAACACATTGTGCGTCTTAACTAGACCGGACTCAGTTGTTTTGTTCCAATGATAGGATAAACGGATGCGGTTAATTATACCATGTTCCTTGCTTTTATCAAAGGCGTTCATAAACACACGAAGCGACTAATATTTGGTAAACTAAGTCCCTTTTATGTGCAATTCTTAAAATCCAACGAAATGAATGGCAGAGGCAGGCCGGGGCACTCACACTTCCATTCAATAAATGCATAAATATATTATTGTGCCAAACCAAAGTGGCTGACCAGGACACGGCGGACCACAGTTCAATTGAGTTTTAAACCAACCACAGCTATTTTCCGAATGTTCTGGTTTGAGTTTTAAAGAGACGGTAATGCAGAACGAGGCTGCTCTCTAAACGCAATCCTACTTGCCCGCTAGTGAATTAGGTTACCTCTTTTTTTAGTAAAAATATGCATAAAATTGACCTTTAATGCAATCTGTTTGTCAAAACCATCTACGACTATTTCACCACCTGAGTGACATGTCGAGAAAACTGGTTATTTATGCCAATACGGCCAATTCGAAAAATCTATTCATTCAGTGGCATAATTTTCCATTATGCTGTCGCCAAAGCCGGCTACTTTGACGAACGTCCAAACTACTATGTCCTCGCTAGTTAATGAGCTACGAGGAACACGGAGAGTCAAACTTTTAAACGACTAAGGCTTCTCAATGAACAAAACATATGTTTATTGGTTTACTTTAATGTGGCTACTCTCCAAATTGTTTAACAGTACAGTAATATACGTCGACTTCATGATTATGTTGACGGAAATGGAAATGGAATGGAAACCGTCGACTATGTAATCTTGACCTGCATTGTTCATACTCGTTGATAAATAATCACCGTTCACACTTTTATCTATACTCTAACCGAAACGGAGTAGGATCATGCAAGGTTTAACTTCCAACAAATAAGCATATTTACTGTTATGGAATAGTGACATTAGCTTATCATTTTTTATCCAGCTCCTTGAATCACTGTTATCGGTCACCAAGATATGTACCTCATCTATACATGACAGTGTGTTATAAGCCGTTTAGTACGAAAGCACGCAAGCGATTCAAACACGACAGACGAAAATACATAACGAACCCAGTTTCCTAAAATTGACAGGCCTCCGCAACGCACTTAGTGAAAGCAGTTGCAGCCTGATTTGAAATATTTGTTGAACGAATTAAGCAGTGATTTGAAATTTGACAAAACGTAAATGAAGGAAATAAAATGTTCACTGTTCATTCTTCCAAATTTTTCTCGTTAGAGTAAATTAAAACTTATGTCTTCGTTATAATTTACTGAAAACTAAACAAATCGCATGGAAGCAGTGGTGATAGTCAGTAAAATCGTAAACGGAGCTTTATCTTAGTGAAGGTCTGTGCCAAAGATAAGCGTAAAACTTTATTGTCTCTTTAAACCAATTTTTAAAAAAGTTTAGCATATAAGTTACTGGCTAGTATACCAGTATTTTCTCCTAGTTTTCTGCGTAATGTAGACAGCTTTTTCTATGCCTTTTCCGCCTAGCTGCGACTATAAAATCCGACAGAAGGTGTTTAAGCACAAACTCGAAGGGTGATATCTATCCGTAGACAGTCGAACTGGAAACGCAAAGTAAGTAACTTGCTTTAGCTTACTTTTCTAGAAAAGCAAACTTTACTAATGTTCTCTAGTTGCGTGCGCATGGTTCAGAAAAAGAAGTTTTGCGCATTTTGGTTAATGACTTGATCTTTTCATATTTCGGTAATTTTCAACATTTATTTAACGATCAAATTGACCTCATGTTCGCCTCATACGACGTTATTCAATATCAGCATATTTCGCCTAATTCAAATAGACTTCGAAAATGTTTTTTCTAAAAACGCGATATGCTTTAGAAGTACTTATTATCAAACTTAGAAATTGCTTCATATGTGAATTGATTATACCTACGTTCAGCTGCATAACAGTGACTTATTATCTCACTAGCAGCCTCGTTTGTTGAAGTGCACGTGTCAGTCGCCTGGGGCGTACGGGGACGGGATGGATCATCTGGTGATCCCGAGAGCATATAAACCTGTCTCAAATTTTACGTCAAGTATTTTATAAGGAAGATTTGGCATAATAGGAGGGCAAGGGCAAGTGTCCTGAGCTTGAACTC